GGCACGTGCGCGATGCCGCGGTAGAGGACCCCTCCCTCGCCGTGTACCGTCTCCTCTTTGAAATCGTCGTCCCGGAGGAGCAGGCGGGCGACATCGAAAGCGCAGCGAAAACATTCCTTGACAGCGGCGGCCTATCCGATGTGTTTGCGAGCCAAGGCGTGACGGGCATCAACTTCCAAGTGCTTGACCCCGGCTCAGGGCACACGCACGGTCATGCGCCGCAGGGGTCTGCGAGCGGTCAGGAGGCGCAGCAGTATAACCAGACAGTGGATGTCTCCCTTCTTGTGGAGACGCTGACCACGGTCGAAGCTGGCATGGAAATCTCGCGCCACCTCGACTTGTATGTGCGTTCTCCGACGATTTACTTCCCGACGGAGCTGAGAGACGCCATCAGATGGTTTCTCGGCGTGGAGACTGGGGCAGAAGGCAGCTCTAAGGCGTGGTTTCTCAGCGACTTTTATATCGTGAACGCGACGTTTGGGCAGTACATCGCTACTTTTGTTCACGTCGGCGAGGCCGGAAGCACTGAAGCAGCCCTATCACAGGCGACGCAGTACATCAAGAGTCAAGCGCTGACAACCTCGCTGCGAGAAGCCGACGCGACCGACGTGAATGTGACAATGCTCGAGCCGCTCTCCCCCCCGAACAACGAGACGGCGGCTGGAACAAGCGAGGGGTATTCCTCCATAGACATCTTACTGCGGATCTCAGCGCCCATCACCGGGCTCTCCCCCACGGTGCTGGAGACGATCAAGTCGGAAGGCGCGCGCGCGACGGGGACCTCGGCTTCGCACTGGACGCTGTCATCCGCCTCACTAGCGTCCGCGAACGGCCCGTTCCTGGCGACGCTTCTGGTGCCCGCGGCGAGCGAGCGCAGGGTGGCGATAGTGCGAGCGATGACGGGGCTGGTGCGGAGCCGTGCCGTGGACCACGCTTTGTGGGCCCGGGGCTACACGGACGTGCGCGTGCTGGCGCGCAAGCGGACGACGACGTTCGGCGCGCAGCGCGGCGGCGCGCGCGGGGGCGGCGCCGCCATCACGTCGACGGCGGCCACTGTCGGCGCGAGCTTGGCCGGCATGGCCCTCGTCGTCGCTGTCGCAGCGCTCGTACTCTGCCTCGTACCGCGCGGGCAGAAGACGACCGCGGGACGCGCCTGGTTTGGCGGGTGGCGGTAGCATGGCTGCAGGTGGGGGGGCGGGGCGGGAGGATTGTGTGCTGTGTGTCTCTTGTGTCTAGCTTGAGATGACAGTTGACCTCATATCAGGTCAAATGACACATATGAGGCTGTTTTGAACTTACCTTCTTCTTGACTTGTGCTCTCTCGATGGGAAGGAGAATGATAGCCTCGCGACAGCACTTGACTTGTGGGCTGCTGAAGGATGGCTTCTAGTAAGACCTGGATATCCTTTCCGGTCGTTTTTAGAGATGCATCGCAAAGAAGCTTGTTTGAGCAACCTTGAAACTGTATGCATTGAGGCCTTCGGGACTAAAACGCAGGTTTTGGAACTTATCTGGATAGAAACTGCAGTAGATTCTTCTTCTTCTTCTTCTTCTTCTCAGCTTGTACAATATGCGCCGTGAGATGAGCCTAGATCTTTGTAGATGTTTGACGAATGAAAATGTAGTGCTGTAGCGTGAAACGTCATTTCCCCGACTCGTCTGTATCATATCTGCAACATTGATCTCTGTTTTCTTCAACACAGCATCTCACACTGTTGGCATGCCACGAGCATACCAGCAGTGTGAGATGCTGTGCGCGGAGTACTGCCCCTTGAGCCCAAATTAGCACAGCATTGGCAAAAAAAGGAAAAATGATTCCCTTCTCATCTCTAAGTTGCCGTAGCGAAAACACCACAAACTGAAACCTGTCTATCTTCTGTGTCCACATTATTTTATAACCTTAGAAATATGAATGACATGTTGTAAAAATATGCTTTGCCCGAACGCGTTTCACATGCGAGAGTCGCTTGAACAAGAATCTCGACTCTCGGAATAGCAGTGCTTTTGTTCACCCCAGAAAAACATTTTGTGGTATGAGGATGGCTTTTTGAAAGAATGGACTCAGTTTGATTTTAAGTCTGCAAAAGTTCATGAGAAGGATGAGACCGGACCAACTGTTGACACCAGGCTGCCCTTTTTGCGATGCAAACAGTAAACTAATTCGATAATTTAGAATGCCAATTTAGGGACCACCTCTAATCTCTTACCATCGGCAATAAAGCATTGAATGATACAGAGGTAGAAGAAGCCTTGAAACTCTTGCAAAGAGCAGAATCCAAAAAACGTCAATGTTTGAGTTTCATTTTGATCTTTGTATTTAGTTTTGAAGATATCAAAGAAACAAAGGTTTCAAGAATTTCCGAAAGTGAATATCCGCATACCTTTCCCAACATAATTTTGAAGTACTGTACCCGAAGCTCTATTTGGGATAGATTATATCACAACTTTGTGAAGTTGCGGGTAAAGTTCTTTACCCCATTTTTAGTGACAACGTTGGTTTCGGGTTCCTTTTAAAAAATTTCGAAGTTTAGAAACCTGGAGCTGAAAAGTAATCTCAGCTGAGAACATTGGTTCACCAAGACATTAGATCGCCATTTTGTCAGCAATTTATTAAAAACGCGACGCTCGACTTCATGACTAAATTACCGACAGTACCAATGTCACCTTTCTCTCAAATGCATTTCAAAAAAGTATCTCGCACAAGTAATCTCTCTTTATTCCCTCCCATCTCCAAGCGATAGTGCAACTTTAAATATCATTTGGAATCAGACTTTGTGCACAGCGTAGAGGCATCTCAGCTCAGTGGTTATGGCGTGCTGGGTCATATAAACTACTGACCCTGAGTCAGTGGGTTCCAAACCAGGTGGAGGTCGCAACTGCACGATAGGGGTCGGAACAGACTCAGGGATGCCCAACATACTTTTTTGTTGAAAAGCATTTTTCATTTTCAAGAGTTGGCATTGTGTGTGGTTTTCTACTTTCAAGATACTTTGCAGTATATATAAAAAAGTTCAAATGACGTTGATGAGATATCTGGAATTTCTGCATTCTTGACACTAATAAGTTGTTTATAAAGAAAGATAGACTCTCCAAGACTATCGTTCTATGGATCCTTCTCCATTGAGCATCCTTTAATTTGCTCTTTTATTGTAACTGTTCTTCTATATTCATTGAAAGGTTTAGAGTAGAAACATCATAGGTAAATGAAGGCGATACATTCTTTGGTGGTGACGGGCGTGTTGCAGCGTTTGGTAGCAGTGCATGCTCTGCTCCAAAACGAGAGCTGTTTCCAAATATAAGACTGCGATAGTAATAAAAGATTCATTTTCCAATGATAGAATTACATGTATCAAGAGGATTTTCTATCATCTTTCTGGAAATTGGTTGGACACAGATGATCGGCGTTCATACAGATGTACTTTATGCAATCAAGAAAAAGAAGCCTGGGAATTGAGCCGGGTGAATCGGAGGTATCAGAAGTTGGATTATACCATCTGCGGGTGCAACAGAGCCATCAGGACTCTTAAGATCCCGCGTCGGTCTAATACGCCAGAGAAACCATCAATTTTGTTAGAAACTGATCAGTACAGAACCGCACACAATGCAGAGCCCCCATGGTTTATCTGACACTGGCACCGATTCACGCCGGAGCAATTAGCGAGCAACCGGCGAGTAATCTAGACTGAGGTTACAATGTTACATGTCAACTCTTCCTCCATAGTTTCCAGAGAGATCACCGAATGTGCAAGCAATATGCTGTAATGTCATGCCGTCTAGAGTAGTTGTACAGTAATTGGACCCGAAGTCGGCGACCCGAAACTCACGTACTACAGTAGCGTAACCCTCAGTGTAGCATAAATGAGTTTGACCGCGGTGCACACTCAGAACACTCTTAGATCGCTTCAATACATCCAAGGGAGCATACAGTAATACAGTTCCATTGTGGCATCTCTGACAATAATTACAACCCACTGGAACAATTTCCATAGTTAACACTCATCTAATCCACTACATCTATATATCAAATCACCACCATAAAAGGATATAACAGAGCGATACTGGCATACAGATAGGACTGGGCGGCAATAATTGTGTGGGGAAAGAGAAGTGTAGAGGGCAATCACCTGGACATGCCCTTGAGATGTTGGTGAGTATGAACTTCGTCATGCAGTAGTTATTGTAGATCTTATTTAACTTTATCTACCCTTCAAGGGTACAATACATGCGAAACTCACTACAATATCTACAAAAAGTGTTACACAGGCGGCGGGAAGCACCAGAAAGTTTGCAAATATTCGGTGTGCATCGATGTTGAGATCCCTCCGCGACTTTACTACTACGAGGTATTTCTTGTAAGAATCTCTGGGGATTCCCATAGACCATTGTAGAGTATGGCCCATTGCGGTTTAATTAGGTCTTTGTTCCAGAGGTAGGGCTTTGTGAACAAGTTGTACAGTACAGTGCTATTGAATGAGGGCAGATTATTCGGTTTTATTCTGAAAATTATATCCTTTGGAGCTTCTCTTCTACCAGTAGTTCGGTCATGTCTTCTATTTTCGTCTCTTCCTGGACTTTATTGAAACTTAAGCAGGCCAGTATTCTAGATAAGACGAGAGTTTTTTTGCTTGTTACTCGGCCTGATCATGTGAACGGCTGCGGTGAAGGAAACGCAAATATCAATGGGCAGATTGTAAAGCCCTGTTTTGTCTGAACACTCAATTGTTAAAGGGCTCAGGGATACAGCCCTTGTCGAAAGTAGACTTTAAACTTCACAAAAGGCTATATTTAGAAGGCATGCCTGATGAGAATTCCTCTTACTCAATAAACCATGTTATCTCCAAGCTTCACGTCATCTCTGAGCAGAAAAGATTCTTCAGAATTCGCGATTTTCATGGCCAAGCGCAACAAGTATTCATCTCCGACCGAGTCGCTAATCAGAAAGAGGAGTCCTTTATAATATCTCAACTAAAACTTCTATGAATATTTGTCCTGTATAAAACTCAGAGCCGCGAGCGGCTGTTGTGGCGCACGTAGTCGAATGCGATCGGAGCTAAAAGGTGTGGTGGGTATCCAAATGAGTCCACTAAGTGCAGCACCTGAGGCCGCAGTTGCTGGCAGAAGATCTGTACGTTGTTATGCGCGTTCTGAGCCTCTAAGGCAGTCAGCGCTCCGCTTCGAATGAAAACGGCCTGAGAATCAACCAGTCGGGCAATGTGCAATGCCCCGCACAAACTCAGAATATCGAAAAGTTCGCTCTCACCACGGCTCTGGAGGTTCGAAAGTGTTTGATGGAACAACTCCATCATCAGCAATTCGACGTGAGCGCGGCCTGTGTCCTCTACCAAAACCGCGGAATGGTTAAACGCTTGGAGCGAAGACTGCCCTGCTTCGACTTTCTTCTTTATCTCTGTGGCCAGCCTCGCGAATAGTGCAGCTTCTCTGCGCCTCAAAACTGTGAAAGCGTATACCGCTGAACGGGGATCAATAGTAGACAAGTCGACTTTCTGCAGTGCTGCCCGATCGTTGAGGTACGAAAAGTGGCCGTCAAAGTCCCCCCCGTTTTTGAAGCCGCGCATGAACTCCGGCAAGACTGTCTTAGTGACAGCTTGCAAGAGAATGTGATTATCACCCTCATATGTGAGTGCAACGTCGTGGCTATTCCTCATCGGACCAATCTTGTTTTCGCATTTGTATCCTTGACCGCCGCATGCCTCTCTCGTCTCTTGGAGAGTTTTGAGAGCATGCCATGAGATGAGGGCCTTAAATCCGGAGCTCCAAACATGCAGCTCGCGTCCGAGCTCTCGATGCTGCCATTTGGGCTTAAGGTGGTTGAGAACAAGCTGCATGACAAAAGTGGCCGCAAGTGGTGGAATTAAACGAGCTTGGAACCCTGGATAGTCCATTAAACGAGTCTCTTCCCCGTCGGGAGGACCAAAAGCCCTTCGCGATAGACCATATCTGATTGCAATCGTGAGCCCAAGCTTAGCCTGAATGAGTGAACCGGACGAAACGCTAACCCGGCCTCCAGAAAGAGAGGCAAGGGAAGCCCCAAATCGTTCATCCGCTGATTTGAAGTTTGAAGTGAACACACCGTCGAGAGACACCTGCGAATTTCGCCTTAGGAGATAGTCATGAGGTACACGGAAATTTTTGAACCATATTCGACCGTTGTCGACGCCATTGAGGCCAATTTTAGCACCGCAGTCTCCAAATGTGACACCTTCAACTGGAGTGCCGCTTTCGTTACGGATCCTTGCTAAAAACGGATGGACACCATGGCAAACTCCTTTCACGTAGAGCTGCGCAAACAGTGCTGTCCAGCGCGCAGATTGGAATGCGCCTCCAATCCAATATTTCTGTGCTTCCTCGCATGGAGTGTTAACGATGAAGGTTTGGGAAGGGATGTCGTAAATTGCTGTTGTTTGGATGCCCTTAACGTTAGAGCCATGACCGAGCTCTGTCATGGAGAAGCAACCGAGCATTTCGCAACTCTCAATTTTAGGCATCCACTTATCGCCCTGTTCATCGTCACCCATTAAGCTGACAGTTCCTCCGAACAGACCATAGTGGACGCTCATTTTAATCTCGAGGCTGTGATCTAGTGCACTAACAGATTCGAGAATAGCTTCATATCGCCTACGCCCTTCGGGTGTAAACTTGCGAAGGGCGTTGCGGAAGAGGCCTGTCTTGGCGATAAGACTCCACCTCTGAATAGTACGAGCTCGTTGTTCGTCAAGAGAATCGTTGTAGCGCGGAGCAAAAACAGGGTCCTTGAAGAGCTCATAGAGGCGGTCACGGACCTCAAAACTGTTCATGTCAAGAAGCTCACGCATCTTCTTTTGGTTAAAGGCGGGACGAGCGGCGACAACTCCAGAAGGATACGGGTGGATACCAGCATGCTTTTGATCTTCAGCATCTTGGGCCCACTGACGATTGAGAAGGGGAGACGAAAGCTCGTGGATGGAAGGGGCGTTGAACTCTGCTTCCAGGCGGTCGAAAGTGGCATCAATACCGTTCATGCCGTGGTGAAGGCTGAATTGAGCGTGAGTGTGACGGAATGGGATTTCTGTTCGATGTTGAAGGGGTTTGAGAAGAGTACGTGGCGGCGAGGTCACCTAGAGATGGTCTTTATAACAATCAAGAGGTGTAGGTTTGACTTGTGACAGAGATTTGCCGCTGACGAATGGGGTACTCCAAGCTGATGAGTGTTCTCCAAGCAAAAACCAGCTGGACTGTATATGTTGTGGAAAAAGAGATTATTATGGATTTCTGGCGTTTCTGTTTCGAGAAACGCGAAGGAAGAATGAGAGAAGGTAGAATTCGTTACGCCTGCGTTTGTTGCGTGAAGTCCATACATCGTGGCAAAGCGCTAATTTCAAAGAAACTGCTGGACTTAAGGAGGGCTCTGGGGGACTGAAACGTGCACAGTTGACAACTGTTTGCATCATATTGGGTTGCAAAGATGGCTGAGTACTCTCTCCAATACAATCATTATGGCACGGGGGTATCTATTTGATGAACCTGTTGACATGTATGTAACATTGCTGGAAAACAATAATATGGCGATAAATAATTTTTATTTTTGGACAGGGTTTCACGGCGTCTGGTTGCTGGCATGAAAGCGTCGTGAGCTATGCCGAGATTTGCAAGTGTTGAACGAATCAAAATGG